CCCCGTATCCGCCCCCCCACCTCCTCGTGCAGGTACTGGGGGATCTGGGTGGTCTTGCCGGAGCCGGTCTCTCCCTCGATGACCAGGATCTGGTGCTGGGCGATGGCTGCCACCAGCTCGTCGCGGTAGGGGAAGATGGGGAGGCTGCGCCGGGCCTCCTGCACCGACTGCCGCCGCCGCTCCGCCTCGGGCACCGCCTCCGGGGCCTCCTGGGGGGGGGCCACCACGTGTCCACGGGGTCCCCACGGCACCCACGGGGTCCCCACGGCTCCCCCCCATCCTCCCAGGGTCACCCCGTGTCCCCTCCTGGTGTCCCCATGGCCCCCCATCATCCTCCCGGGGTCCCTCCATGGCACCCGGTGTCCTCACGGCCACCCAGGATCATCCCAGGGTCCCCCCGTGTCCCCTCCCAGTGTCCCCATGGCTCCCCAGCACCCTCCCAGGATCCCTCTGGTGTCCCCACGTCACCTCCAGTGTCCCCATGGCCACCCGGCATCATCCCAAGACCCTCATGGTGTCCCCATGGTCACCCATCACCCTTCCAGGGTCCCCCCGGTGTCTCCATGTCACCCCTGGGGTCCCCACAGCCACCCAGCATCCTCCTAGGGTCCCCCCAATGTCCCCATGGCTCCCCATCATCCTCCCAGGGTCCCTCCACAGCACCCGGTGTCCCCACGGCCACCAAAGATCATCCCAGGGTCCCCCCAATGTCCCCATGGCTCCCCATCATCCTCCCAGGGTCCCTCCACAGCATCTGGTGTCCCCACGGCCACCCGGGATCATCCCAGGGTCCCCCCATGTCCCCTCCCAGTGTCCCAGTGACTCCCCAGCACCCTCCCAGGGTCCCTCCACAGCACCCGGTGTCCCCACGGCCACCAAAGATCATCCCAGGGGCCCCCCCATGTCCCCTCCCAGTGTCCCCATGGACCCCCATCATCCTTCCAGGGTCCCCCCAGTGTCCCCACGGCTCCCCATCATCCTCCCAGGGTCACCCCAACTCCCCATCATCCTCCCGGGGTCCCTCCATGGCACCTGGTGTCCCCAGGGCCACCCAGGATCATCCCAGGGTCCCCCCGTGTCCCCTCCTGGTGTCCCAGTGACTCCCCATCACCCTTCCAGGGTCCCTCTGGTACCCCCACATCACCTCCCATGTCCCCATGTCCCCCCATAATCCTCCCAAGATCCTCATGGTGTCCCCATGGCCACCCATCATCCTTCCAAGGTCCCCCGGGTGTCCCCATGGCTCCCCATCATCCTCCTGGGGTCCCTCTGGTGTCCCCACGTCACCCCTGGGGTCCCCACGGCCACCCATCATCCTTCCAGGGTCCCCCCAGTGTCCCCATGGCTCCCCATCATCCTCCCAGGGTCCCTCCACAGCACCCGGTGTCCCCACGGCCACCAAAGATCATCCCAGGGTCCCCCCCATGTCCCCTCCCGTCTCCCCATGGCCACCCATAATCCTCCCAAGACCCTCAAGGTATCCCCAGGGTCACCCATCATCCTTCCAGGGTCCCCCCGATGTCCCAATGACTCCCCATCATCCTCCCGGGGTCCCTCCATGGCACCTGGTGTCCCCAGGGCCACCCAGGATCATCCCAGGGTCCCCCCGTGTCCCCTCCTGGTGTCCCAGTGACTCCCCATCATCCTCCTGGGGTCCCTCCATGGAACCTGGTGTCCCCACGGCCACCAAAGATCATCCCAGGGTCCCCTCGTGTCCTCCCCAAGCGTCCCAGTAACTCCCCATCACCCTCCTGGGGTCTCTCCAGTGTCCCCACATCACTTCCCGTCTCCCCGTGGCCACCCATAATCCTTCCAAGACTCTCATGGTGTCCCCAGGGTCACCCATCATCCTTCCAGGATCCTCCCAGTGTCCCCACGTCACCCCTGGGGTCCCCACGGCCACCCAGCATCCTCCCAAAACCCTCCTGGTGTCCCCACAGCCACCACGGCCACCCAGCATCCTCCTAGGGTCCCTCCAATGTCCCCATGGCTCCCCATCATCCTTCCAGGGTCCCTCTGGTGTCCCCACGTCACCCCTGGGGTCCCCACAGCCACACAGCACCCTCCCAGGGTCCCCCCACAGTGTCCCCACAGCTCCCCATCATCCTCCCAGGGTCCCTCTGGTGTCCCCAGGTCACCTCCTGTGTCCCCACGGCTCCCTCCCATCCTCCCAGGGTCCCCCCGTGTCCCCTCCTGGTGTCCCCATGGCTCCCCATCATCCTCCTGGGGTCCCTCTGGTGTCCCCACATCACCCCTGGGGTCCCCACGGCCACCCATCATCCTTCCAGGGTCCCCCCAGTGTCCCCATGGCTCCCCATCATCCTCCCAGGGTCCCCCCAGTGTCCCAGTGACTCCCCATTACCCTCCCAAGGTCTCTCCGGTGTCCCCACGTCACCTCCCATCTCCCCATGGCCACCCATAATCCTCCCAAGATCCTCACGGTGTCCCCATGGTCACCCATCATCCTTCCAGAGTCCCCCTGATGTCCCAATGATTCCCCATCATCCTCCCAGGGTCCCTCTGGTGTCCCCATGTCACCCCTGGGGACCCCACAGCCACCCAGTATCCTCTCAGGGCTCCCCCAGTGTCCCCATAGCTCCCTCCCATCCTCTCAGGGTCCCCCCGTGTCCCCTCCTGGTGTCCCAGTGACTCCCCATCGTCCTCCTGGGGTCCCTCCATGGAACCTGGTGTCCCCACGGCCACCAAAGATCATCCCAGGGTCCCCTCGTGTCACCTCCCAGTGTCCCCATGGCTCCCCATCATCCTTCCAGGGTCCCTCTGGTACCCCCACGTCACCTCCAGTGTCCCCATGGCCACCCATAATCCTCCCAAGACCCTCAAGGTGTCCCCAGGGTCACCCATCACCCTTCCAGGGTCACCCCAGTGTCCCCACATCACCCCTGGGGTCCCCACAGCCACCCAGCATCTTTCCAGGGTCCCCCCACTGTCCCCACGGCTCCCTCCCATCCTCCCAGGGTCACCCCGTGTCCCCTCCTGGTGTCCCCATGGCTCCCCATCATCGTCCCAGGGTCTCTCTGGTGTCCCCACATCACCCCTGGGGTCCCCACGGCCACCCAGCATCCTCCTAGGGTCCCCCCAGTGTCCCAGTGACTCCCCAGCACCCTCCCGGGGTCCCTCTGGTACCCCCACATCACCTCCAGTGTCCCCATGGCCACCCATAATCCTCCCAAGACCCTCCCGGTGTCCCCATGGCCACCCAGCATCCTCCTAGGGTCCCCCCAGTGTCCCCAGAGCCCCCCCATCATCCTCCTCCCAGTGTCCCCCTGGTGGTCCCAAATTCTCCACAGTATCTTTAGGATCCCCGCTCTATGCCCCCCAAAACCCCTCCCAGTACCCCCTCCAGCACCCCAAATCCCTCCCCTATCCCCCCATGATCCCTCCTGTGACCTCCCCAGTTGCTCCCAGTTACTCCCAGTAGCCTCCCAGGATCTCCCAGTAGCCTCCAGTGAGTGTCTGCCAGCCCCCAGTTGCTCCCAGTAGCCTCCCAGTAGCTCCCAGTAAGAAGCTGTGAGCCCCCAGTAGCTCCCAGTTCCTGTAGTCTCCCTAAAACCAATCCCCCCCCACCCCGGGACCAGTAGCTCCCAGTAGCCACCCAGTTACTCCCAGTTGCCCCCAGTGAGCAGCAGCCAGGCCCCAGTTGCTCAGTTGCTCCCAGTAAGAAGCTGCCAGCCCCCACTTGCTCCCAGTAGCTCCCAGTTACTCCCAGTTGCCCCCAGTAAGCAGTAGCCAGCCCCCAGTTGCTCCCAGTAGCTCCCAGTAGCCGCCCAGTTACTCCCAGTTGCCCCCACTAAGCAGCAGCCCGCCCC